CCCCAAAACCCCAAAACCCCAAAACCCCGAAAGTTATAAATAGAAATGAATTTGGAATATTGATAAATTAAAATACCTTTCAATAAACAACATCAATATAATAGAGTTGTTTTATTATTAAGAATCTGCTCCATCACTAGTCATTGCTGTACTCTGAAATTTGATCACTATCCTTTATACTGGTCATATGAACTCAAATGAATCGCCTGATTTCAGCATCTTCATCATACTCTTCGTCGTCTTCATCTAAGTCCTTCATCTCCTTTAGTACATTCTCAATCTCATGACTTGTAGCGATTTCATTAACTTACTAAGATTATGGTTCATGATAGTATTAGAAATTGCCGTAATTATATTCGTCATAATGGTAAGCCCCTGGTTACTAATCAATGTTCTAATCGTATTATTGCTAATCCAGCAATCCAAAATGCTCTTGCTCTTGGTATTGCTGCTCTGAAGCTTCATACTGTTACTAATACAAGCCACTGCTATCTTATTCACGGAGCATCGATGCCGAGTCTTGCTCGCTAGCAAATAATTCTAGTTCAGTGGTTAGTAACTTAGTTTATGCATCAAATTCTTCCTATTCCTAGATATTCTGTTGATCCAATGTCTATTACTTTGGCTTGGACTAATTTAGTTAATCTCTAATATCTCTTGGGAATTCTTTAGTCTTCAATTTAGTAGCATCTTTTTGATTTTGTTATTGTTATTTTCTTCTATCCTCTGATCTAAATTCTTTTAATTCCAATGCAGGTTGAGACTGATCGTCATCGTTTTCACTTTAAGTTAATGGGATATACTATGCGAAATCTTTTCTGTTTTTGATTCCATAAGCAATTAATGCTAAAATAGTCAGTGAAAGGACAAAGAGAATCAATTGCCAGAGTAGATGGCCGAAACTCTAGAGAAGACTTGAGTCATCAGTTTTTATGTTTTTATTGTCCTACGTCAATTGAGTTTAATCTTTGAACTGATTTCTCATTAAGTCATCGTTTTAGAAGATGTTAATGTCACTTTAGAGGAAATCTCCTTTTCTCTAGCGATCTCTATCATTCGAGATAATGTTGATATTTTAGTCATAATCTGAGCTAGTTCTATCTCGAGTCAATCTGGAACCATCAGTAATTCTTTTCTTATAAGATATCTTATCTTCTCCCTTGTCTTGATTAATATTTGAAGAATCAGATTTAAGATCACATAGTTTACCTGCCCAGCCATTGTCACATTTGTAGCAGTATTTTTCTCCGTCAAGGCATTTTCCATGAACGCACAAGCAGGTTATGTTCTTTTACTATTCTTTTATTTTGATTATTCTATCCTAAAAAATTTTCATGTTATCTACATGTTCTCTCTTGCCCTTCTGGTCATTCATAATCTCCTTTCCCTCAAATGCGAACATTGGTATTGTTAAGCCTTCTGCCATTTAGATTTGCTTCTTTTCTGAGTTGACAAGATTCTCCCAGTCTACATAAAGGCGCATCAGCACTCCTGCCTGATCAGCCATAGCCTCTTCAGTAACATCGAAGAGCAAAGTTACTGCCAACGGATTCTTAGAATCTGCCACAATGGTAGCTGGCTTCTTAATTCTGAGTACGTCCATTGACCTTGGCTGAAGAATTTATAACCCAAACAACTCTGCCAGCTATTTCTTTGAGGCCATATTTCTCAACCTAGGTATCTAGTAACTCTTGTGGAAAGGCGCAGTGGAAAAGTCAAGGCTTACTTTTGCAAAATTCAGGCCCTTCGGCAGCAAATGAGGTAGAGACTAGGTAGCATTTCCTTTCTTGGTATAATTCACTGGCTGTGGTCTCATTCCAACAATAAGAGGAGTATTTTCAGAGAAAATCACTACTTTATTTTTGTCCTTAGTTTTGATTGATATTTCAATATTCTAATATAGACAGAGAGGCTATTTGACTGCATCATAAACTTCTTTGAAAATATAGTAAGAAACCTCATCTGCTAGCATAAAATTGTAAAGGTTATTTGCTCTTAAGCCTTTTCCAATTACTTTGCGAATAATGTAATCGTTTGTTGCATCGAGGTCATTGAATTTTATAGGTGCTTATTCAGTAATTGGTACATAATCTTCTGGCAAAGATTTAGAGTCTACATCATCTGTCTTGATATTGTCAAATACGTTCAGATCAAATAGAGAATTTGCAAAATCAAATCTCATCTGAGCATCAATGTCAAACGCTTGATTCAACTTGATGTCCACAGTAAGTGAAATGAAATCTTTTTGATCTTTAGCCATCATCACTTCGAACCCAGAGGGATATTTAAGTTCAGTGTAGCTTGCAAACTTGAATTCTCCATTCTTGAGATCATTGTCCTTAATTGTCTTTGGCAGATCCTTGTCAAGCTGCTTGATATTTTGCATTTAATCATCTCTCTCAGTCAAACATGTGAGATCCTGTTTGAGCTTAGTTATTGTTTATATGCTTAATAGCATGTTGAAGTAGTCGCATTTCTCTTGGTTTGTCTTGGAATCAAATCTCAACTGACCCTCATAGTACACAAACAGATAATAGGACCTGTCCTTAATAATTTTGTAAGATACTTAGCTTTCTTCATGCTTATAGGCAGCAACAGATTGAGTGTGGTAAAGAGGCTAGTTGCCCTTATCGCTATTGGAATTAAAACTATCAAATAGCTTAATGACAATGTTAGTGCCCTGAGATTTGTGCTAAGAGAAAACTGTCAAAATGGCATCATCCTCAGCCTCGATTTCAATTCTATCGAAACTGGGCTGTTTATGAGAATTCGCATTCTTCTTAATTAAAACATCTCTATATGCTTGGATGAAATTACCTTCAGCATTTATAGATGCTTCAAGACCACCTTTAGCTTTTATGGGATTCTTGTAGATCTTAGTAGGTAACTTATTCTTAATAGGACATTTACTAATTGTATTTAGGCCACCAATATTCCCAAAGTTACTAATAGGAGTGATTTTGCCTTATAAACTGAAAATGCCACAAACTTAGATATTATTTAATAGTCCTTGATTAGTCCAATTAGAATAGCTGTTCCAATCCATAACTTGACTTTGTTCAATATCTAGACTATAGTCACCTGGAGGCACGGTAGTATCAATGGTATTCAGGTTGAATTCTTGCTTGCCAATCCATGAGTTGCCGCTATCAGTCATTTCTGTGAGTTTTAATATGATTTAATATCCAATTAAATGCATTCCAAATGAAAATTAGAATCTGGATGTCTCGTTTACTCTGAATTTATAGCTGTCAATTGAGGGTGAAGTTGCCAGTAACTTACCACTTAAGCGCAGTAAGGGATATTCGTAGACTATCTCATTTTCGTATATTCTCTTGTTTTGATGTCTAGTGAGTGAAAGTGGTAAATTTAAAGAAGAATCGCAATTCATGAGTCCGCTACCTTGATATCTAATATATTTATCCAGGAAGAACTGAACTGGAGTGATCTGAATTGTGATGTGGAATGAGTTTTTAAACACGGTTGACTTCTTCCTTGCTTGCTCAGTCGAAAACTCAAATATCAATTCATAGTCATCATTAGTCAGTTCTTTGATAATAGTCGAACTTCTTAGCTTCTCTAAGTCAGTGTTTACATTAACGCTTCTAAGAGTCATTAAGATCTCGCTGTTTTCTATGTGGACACGGAGCATAGAAGTCTTGTCTGAATTCTGATTCTTAATCTTGAATGTGATCTTATTCATATTATTAGCCTCATTCATTCTAATGTATTCTGAGACCATCATATATTCCTCATCCTTTAGATACTTATATGTGTCTAGACTGATAGGAAGGCTCTCTACATATCTATTAAGATCTTATATCTCCTCTTATGAAATATAGGTCCTCACAATACCATAGTTAGAAGTTTGGAAGTTGGCTATATTAGACCCGCTGAGTTGGGAAATCACATTCACTCCGAAGCTAGTCATGCAGTTCTTTGGCTTTTGAGGAAGAGTGATGTTTAGAGAGTAATGACCCTGCTGAATGTCATAGAATTTATACACTGACATGTCCTAGGTTTCAGTTTGAATCTCGGCTGCTCTCACATCACCAATTAACTTCTGTAATTCTTGAGTCATTTGCTTGTATAGTCTTGCCTCAGGCATGTAGAACAAGTAAGAGTAGTCTAACGATATTATGATATCTGCAGATGGCATTGTAACGATAATCTCTAATGAAATATGCTGCTATTGAGTATTCATTTTATAAGTGTGATCTTCATAGTTCTCATCAATATTTAACTGGGGATAGTTAGTCTCGGCTCTGGTCTCTTGCTCACACAAACTATTTTGCTTAAAAGATTCAATTTGGATTCTAAAGTGTTCACAATAGTCATCATCATCAGTAGTCAAATCTTCAAAGTCTCCTCCAGCTTGAGTGGAGTCTTGTGCAAATTCAATGACGAATATATAGCTCTGACCTTCTTTTAGGTTTGTGCCCAGAATCACTTGCTATTCTCCGTGATTTGCTGGATATGACTGAGTAATGGGCTGATCCCTCTCTATACTTTAATCTGATCTGAAGAGCTTGATGACTGTATTTGGCCTGTCTAATATAATTCTAATTGCATCCTGATCTTTCATAGGTATGTAAGTCATCTGATGTTGAGTAATCTAGGGATTAACAATCATTGCTTCATAAGCATGATCGACTCTGCCGTTTACAAAGGAAGGTATAATTTTGTTGTCTAAAACTACATACTTACTGTAACAGTTGTATTCATGGGTATAAATGGTATCAATTTGAGTCTTGATTGTTGACTCTTTAGTATCGACCATGATTGTATGCTGGTTGAAATCATCCTCTTTAGTGATTCTGATGAAGTTCAAATCTATTTGGAACCCAACATCTAAGAATTTCAGTTGATCTCTCTCGTAGCTATCCTACACATTTGTCAAACAGTTGTGAGCATAGATGAGAAGTTCATAGTCTCCACCTGGAATATCACTTGCAACTAAATGCACCATATTTTCATGTCTCACATTTCGCAGGAGTCTGTCGTTGTTCACGTTAGTCAGAGCGAAGTTCACATTGTTCAGTGCAAAATCTGATCTAACAGTAATTAATACTCCCAGGTCCTTCATCTTTGGAATAGAGAACTTGTGATTATATAGTTCAACGTATGATTGATAGTTAGTGGCCATACTTTGATCATTAATGTTGTAAAAACTGATGCCATTGTCTCTAAACACCTGCTGCTATCTCTCTGGATGCTAGAGTATCTCCTCTAGGTTAAAGTTCTTGCTTGGATCTTTGAATTGATTGACCTGGCTCTTAGCATCTCTCATCTAGACCATTGAGATTTCCATTTCAACACTTTGACATGGCTGCTATAAGTAAATCTCATTGCTTAGGAACAAAAGTTGTAATTGATATTAGCCTCTTTCAAGCATGGCAAATATGGAGTCTTCATAGTCTTTTGCTTTAGAATCAATAAGCTTTTTGGAGTTTCCATCTTTAACCTATCTCAAAACTAAGTCATACTCAATGTGTTAGTGCACTGATGACACCATTCTAACTAAGGTGGTTTCAAATAGTTCGAAGTTAATGGTGTGAGCTGAGTTATTTTTAAGATTATCAACTCTGAATCTCTCTAGATAGTGGAAGTTCTTCTGAACATAGTTTTATCTGTTATCATCTTCCTTTGCTCCAAGATATCTTCTGATGTTAAAGGTTTAAGGCAAATTCAATTCTAGGCATTTAACATCATTCAAACTCTTAATTTCATCAGAGTTAAGATTCATTCTATTTGCTTCTACAAAAAGTTAGAAGTTGGCACATTTGCCATCATTAGTAGACTAATGAAGCCAGACTCTAATTAGACTCTTGGCAGATATTTGGACTACATTATGGAATTCATTAAAGGCCTTTTGTCCACTAAGGAGGCATTAGAGTTTGCATGTTGGTTCTCTAATGTAGCTGTCCTAGTGCTTCCTCATATCAATGTCCTGGTAATTGACTCCCTGATCAAGGATTTCTACTAGGAAATCAACTAGGTTCAACTCAGTAAATTTCTGCTAAATACTGATCTTGATCTCATAGTCTTGCTCCACTCCTACTTTGTCATAGTAATCTCCAAGATAGTAGTCTTAGTAGTAAAAGAATGTCTGATAATTGTCTCTCAGGGTGAAGGTATTCCTATCTAGAGGAGACTTGTATGGAGAGTTTGACTCAACTTTGATCACGCCAGCAGATGAGCCCATTTGAGGCACAACTTAGCTGTCCTAACATTTATGCTCTTACTCTGCGAACTACAATTCAATGTAGACTGTTTCGCATTCACTTAAATACTAGTCAATGGATACGCTGAAGTTCACTGCTCTGAAAGTGACATAGAACAACTTGCCGATATGCTGGCTTTCAAACTGGTAATGCAACCAGGAGTAATCTAACTTTCCGTTTCTGTAGTTCTTATTCTCTCTGAACTCAAGTTTGTGATTCATTGTTGAAGCGAGGAACTTGTCTGTTGCTGGATCGTATAGTCCTATCTCAATGTCGAAGTTTTCATTGCTGTAAGTAAGCTCTTAAAGTTCTGGCTGCTGAATGAGCACCTTAAGTACTCCTGGCTTCTTTGGGGTAAGCTGAATCACATTGTCCTTGTCATGGTTGACTGAGTAGAAATCAGCTAAGTGCATATCTCCACCGAACTCTCCTAAAAACTCAATTCTGTTCAAATTTCTGGGATAGTTTGAAACAGGACATTGCTCTTTGTGGATGCCCTCAGCTATCTCGCTGAATGAATAGTCCTATTTATCTTTTTGATAGCCATCTTGTCTGTATTTCCTCCTTTGAAGATGATTGCTTTAATCTTGTGAGTTCATGCCTTCAGCAAGCATAGTATGGCAATCAGGGTAAGCGTAATTAGTGTCTTTGCACTTATTGCAGTATTTACCGTCATATTTTTCTTCACACCTGCATTGGTAGTCAGTCAGTTTTTTCTCTTTTCCAATCTGTATGCAGTCTCCGTGGTTGTTGCAAATAGCAGGTGAGCACTGCTTCAAATCAATAACACAGAGAGAGTGCTTCAAGAAGTCTTACTCAACAATAAAGCCAGAATCACATTCTTCGCACTCAGCTCCCTTATAAGGGTATGAGCATTGGCATTTGCCACCCTCTAGTCTAGCCATTGCATTTGGATTGCATTTTACTTCTCTTTCTTTATATGGAACCAAGCAGTACTTAGTCTCAATGTTAGGCAGCTTGAATAGCCTGCTATCTATCATCAGGCTATAGCAGGTCTCCTCGGTGATGTTACGTTTAAAGACAACTGAGAAGTCGAAGTACATTACGAATCCGTCTTTGTCAGCTTGCATCAAGGACTGAGAAGCTAGCCTGTCTGACGAGTTTCTCAGATTCTGAAGGAAAAAGGTTTTGCTCAGTTCCGTTTCAGAAGCCTCAAGATTGTTGATGTCAACGTCTCTGTTGAACTTAACCTGTACCTTGAATTTTCTTCTTTCAAGAAGTCTTTTAATCTACTGCTTAAGAGGCATAACTGATACTACTTCAAGCTCTGCATTCTCATCTGAGGCTGAACTGCCGCTTCTGGCAACATACTCCAATGTGAAGTCAAAACCTATGCAAGCGATGTCGTTGACTGACTTCTTTAGGAACAGTCCTTTTTGAATCATTATCTAGAGGGTATAGTCTCCTGCCTCCAAGTTTGGTATCTCAACATAACTTACCATGTCATTGGTTGGTGTCATATCCTTTATCTATGTGTCAATATCTTCCAATGAACCGAATGTCTCAATAGCAATTACATTAGAAGTTTTCTTATCAGTAAGACTTAATTCAACAGCTAACTCCTCAAAGGAATAACTAGCAATGGCTGAGAGAGCATTGCCACCACGAGTAACGCTCAGGTCGTATACGATAGTAATGAACTCATCAGTAGACTGCTTGATGTTTTGGTTTCTAGTGTCTAGCATGTTTGATGCCAGAATGAATTTTTCAGTAATAAACTGCGATTCATAGTCAAGTCTGTAACTCAACTTCTTCGATTACCTAGATGCTTCAATGTCTTCTGAGCTGCAGACCAGTAGGTTTTGGACATTTTAGATAGGTTATATTAGCATGTATATTTCGAGCATGTGGCACTTGTCTGTGGCCTGATCAACCTTCACGAACTCAAACTCAAATTCTAGGTAGAAAGGCTTGCTCTTATCAGTCTCGTCGAGAGGCATGTAGAGCAAATCAGTTTCTGGATTGCCTTCATACTCAATTTAGAACTTATCTGGAGCACTTGAGGCTAGTAACACCTTATTTGAGTCTAGAACTCTGAACTTGGCCTGCACTCCAGAGTTATGAGTGTCAATAAAAAGCCTCAACATTGAATTCTGTGGAACTATGAACTAATGAGTGCTAGTGTATTTGTTAACTAAGGCTGAAGGAGGTTCTAACTTGAAGATACCTGTCCATATGCCTTGACCATCCGAGTTTTACAAAGGCACTGTTTGTGTGAAGTAATTGTCATTATAGAGCTAAGGTGGCATTCTAGTAGGTAAGTTGTCGCAGTTGTAGGAACTTGGCTCTACTATCCAGTTTCTGGACTCACAATTAGGGTATAAGAACATGGGATCAGCGCATCTTCCACAAAAGTCAAAGCCATCGTTCTCGAACCCAAGGAAGCATTTACACTAGGCTTGTCCTGAGATTGGATCCTCAGAGCAGGTACCGTGAGCGTTGCAATCAATAGTTCCATTGTTTTAAATGCATCTCATGCTTTGGTGGCATTCCATTGTTGTTGGATCATATGTGTAGCCCTTCATGCACTAAGAGCAATCTGGCCCGGTAAATGGTTCATGACAAAGACAGATACCATTAGCTTCATCGCAAGATTGCATACCTTTGTTGTTGCAGGCGCAACTGCTTGTACATATAACATTCTGATCCTTCATAGCTATGTCTTCATATCTGACCCCTAGTGTTTGAGTATCAAACAGCATTCTGTAGCATTTGCCCTTCTAAAGAACTCCATGGCCGAATGTCAGAATGATAGAAGACTTGTCAACAGTGGAAAGTCTTGTGGTCTGAGGGAATATCTTTGTATCGTCCATCTTCTGATAATCTATTGACACAAGGTAGACAAACGGAGTGAACTTGAGGGTCTTGAACTCTTCTTTCATAGACTCCTTGAATTGCAAGAATACTGAGAGTTTCTGTCTGGAGTCGAATTTTTAATCCTTCAGTTTACCTCCTTGCCAGTCTATTCTAATTAACTCATTTTCAGTTGGGTCAGTGTCAGGTGTGTAATTATCTTCATCATGGATGACCTAGGTGATTCTAACTGAGAGATCAAAGGTAATGCAAAGCACAGTTGAGGAATCCACTACCTTATTTGTAGTCAATTCACTGAACATTTCAGCAATTTAGTTTGAGAAGATGAGTCTCATAACGTAGTTCTCAGACAGTTCCTGGCCTAGACTCAGGTCATCCTTCACGTTGTTAAGTCTTAATCTGGACACCATGTTGTATCCACTTTCCTCAGTAATAATAGATACATCTTCGATTCTCTGGTCTATCCATTCAGATTCTCCAAGGAATATGAGATCATTCTTGTTTTTCTAGTTTTAAGCGAAAAGCATTATTTTGACATCAGCTACTTCAAAGTCAAATCTAGTTTCAATATCAAAGTAATATTGGCGCTTGATGTCTGGGATCTGCACATTAATGTCATAGCTTATCATCTTTTTAGAACTAGTGCCTTTGGAATATTTGCTAAAGAATTCACTTGACAATTAGTATTCACCATCCAAGTCAAAGTTCTCTGTACCAATTTTAATCTCAGAGGGTGGGGCCTCTTTTTTAGTGCATTTGAGATCATCTTCAATCATGGCTTTCACTGGGTTTAGAGAGACTCTCATTTCATAAAAAGGACAATTGTCTGTCTAGTCCAAAGAATCTTATACAATCTTGAGTCTGTATGGTTTAAGCTGTGATTAAAGATATAGCCAAATTTGTCTCTAGCCAGCATTAGGAATAGTGTAGCCTAACAATTTTGAGTCTTGACCATATAAGAATGCGTTTAAGTTATTTTTGGGGTTCGGCACATTAATGAATAGCTTGAAGTAGGAGTCTTCTTCGGCAAGGATGTCAACAAATTGAACTGACTTGGTGCCTAGTTGCAAGTTGTAGGTGTTGTCGACTCTAGTTTCTCCTCCTTGAATTTTCTTGGGCATTTCTTCATATTGACACTATGGCTTGAGAATATCTTCCATTTCTTATCTTAGAATTTTATCATCCTCGCTTTGCTTCATCATTTTTTCAAGTTCACCACCGCCCATAAAAGCATTAATAATGAACTCTTCAAACCCCATATTTAGAGTCTGACTGTCATGATTAGCAGCACTAGTGATATAATAAGTGTAAGTGACGTTTAGGCATGGAGAAGGCAGTAGCTTTAAGTCATTTCCTCCTCGTTACTTCATTGAGAGTACACCAAGAGCTTTTCTGTACTTATCAGCATGATTGGAGAGTGATTGAATTGCCATGACATATACACCTTGAGGAACCACTGCAAATAGATTAGACTAAGAGTCCTAGACCAAGTATTGCTATTCTTCTGAGAATTAACGCGAGTCCTTGTCAAATTTATACAATCCTATGCCGAGTTATCCCTCCACTTGCTGATCGTAGTTAGTCTGTATGTAAATCATGAAGGGACCTTCGCCCTGTTCATCGAGATTAATGTAGGCTGTATCAAATACTCTAGTGCCAAGATTGTAAGTAAGGTTACTTCTGACAACCGAACCGAATTTCAAATTACTACCAACATTATTTAGATCCTGACATTGGTCCATAAGACTACTTTTAGCATTTTTGGTTGGTGTTACTGAAAACTTAACTAGAGCTGAGACGCATGAGGATGGATATGCTATTGTATTTGGCTCATCTGCACCAATCTTAATAGTATATACACCTGGCGACAAGAATTCACGGATTTGCACTACGTTGATGTGTTTAAACTCTGATGCTTTCAAAAAGTTATCAGCATCCTTGTTAATATCTGAGGATTTCACTTTCCTCTTAAATGTTCCTTTATCTTTGCTCAGCATTAAAGAGAGAGTGGTTAGATCTTTAGGTACTTCAGCATATACAATTACCAATGATTACTCGATAATTTCAAACTTAATCTAGTCTTAACTTATCAAATCTGAGAGCTTCACTTTTATTTCATGATTAATAGATTGGCCGCTGAGAGGATGAATAAACTAAGGGCCTTTTAGAGCTCTTGGCAAGGAAGGTAAATCACACAGCTCTAGGGTGTTCAGTACCATCTGTACCATTATGCCAGATTTTTCGGTTCCATACACAAAGTCAATAGAGAATCTGATCATATCATCTACTCCTTTTTCAAATTTAGTCATAGGTGTTACAACTAGATAATAGCTACCTCGAGTAAGAGACTATGGAGAAATATAACTATGATACTTCTCTGGTGTGGATACTATTTCCCAATCATCATTCAAGTCATCGGCTCTAATAATACTAATACCTAATCCAGCGACTGCTGAGTAATCGATTACCTAAGCATATATTTAGGCTTGCTCTTCATTAACTTCAAATTTCAGATTCATAAGGAAAGGTTCACCGTTTTCGTAGTACTTGCTTTAATATACCTTATTAGATTTTCTCAAAAAAGGTTTCAGAGAATTTTCATCCATGAAATTCAGCATGAATTTAGTTCCAATCAAAAAATCACTTTCCTTGAGACCTTCTCCTCTTTTCTTAAATCTCTTGATTTCATCTATGCTTGCAGGCAAAATTTTCTAAGAACTGAAAACTTGCTGGTTTTAAGGCTTTTCTATGAGCTCAATTCTCAGGTCAAATGTTATGAGTTCATTGTCTGCATTGTTTTACAATACAATTCTATACTTCTTTTTATTTTATAGTTTGCTAACGGACAGAGACTGCTCATTTTACTCTGCAATGCCCTTCGCAATTCTGCCTCTTATTCCTGTCTTGTTTCCCTTCTTAACCTCATTATCAAATATCTATCCATAAGACCCTTGAATTTTAAGGTCTGTCTTTACATCTTCAACATATTCAAAAAGCAACTCTAGCTTGTTATTTGAACTGCTCATAATTGCGTTGAAATTGACATCATTGTTATCATCATCAATTAAAAACTCAATAGTTTTAAACATCTCATTCTCAATTATGCAACCTGAGCAATGATATACAACTTCACCAAAATCAGACCCTTTGGGTCCAATAAGACCAAGGTAATTCAAACTTGGGGGCAAGATTTACTGTCTATCTACTTTTGAGTTAAGTATCATTAACAACTAGAACTAGCAAGTTTTAATAGCATACTCCTTAAGACTGCTAAATGCATGAGGAAGTAGTTTTTAAACAAACTTTATATCATAGGAACCAGGTTCTAATTCTATGAAAATCTTCTTATCACCCTTGTATTTAGTCCAATCAACAGTCTTCAGTTCATTTAGATTTTGGTGAGATCTCACATTTAATGCATCATTTGAAACTATACTTATATCTACGTCATACAGATATGGCTCATAGAAGACCTCGACAAACATTTAAGTCTTTTCAAGAACATAGAACCTAACTGAACTCATCTCAAAGTTTAATATATCTTGAAGAGATTTGAACTGGAAAATCTTTTGGTGATCAACAAACGCATAGCCTGAATCAACGCTGGCGGTTTTTGTGTTAGCAAAAATGCTGGCTAAGGCTTCCTGTGATTCAAGATCGCTAACTGACTAGTCTCCTTCTTTGACCATTTTCTTTGCTTCATCTGTAGGGATCATAGAAATTTCAACGTTGAAATGAGGACATTGGAAGAATTCTGATACCTGAATAACTGAACTGTCAAAGGAGAAGGTGATATAGTAAAGTTTACCCTTCTAAACTTCACCTAATAGCATCTCAGTGGTTCCAACCTACTCTGACTACACAATACAGTCCTCTCCTTAATTCAGTACTACTGCTGCATTGACACCATATGCCTCCTTAACTCTAATCTTAATAAGAGAGTCTTTTTCTGGCTTAATGTCAAACTAAATCAAAATTAATAAACTTATTAATTAAATTGGAGGCAAAAGTAAATTCAAATTTATTATACCTGTTATGTTAAGTTAAAGACGTTCATGATGATTTTATCTTGCATTTAGAATCTTCTGCCTCCCTTTCCAGTAATAAATCTCTCTTAAATGAAATCTCTCTCCATATATAGGTAGGGGCAGTTCACTCTAATTAATAAGATATTTCAAAAGATAAAGATATTTTTACCTTTCCTCATTTTGGAGTACAGGATAGGAATTAAACTTCAAAGATATGGGTCTTAGTTCCAGATTAGCTTCTGTGTCCAGGAATCTTCTCATACCAGTTGACTCATCCTCTAGGAACACTAATTTGTACTTACCAGTGGTAAGAATTACATCTATCTTCATCATGTTTTTTTAGCTCATTGAGGCTAACACACAACTTTTGTCAAATAAGCACTCTAGTTGATTTCCAATTTCAAACTTTTTGTCCTCCCTAACGAGTAAGACTTTGACTGAAGATGAGACCATAAAATTGATACCTACAGTCATTTCATACCAATAAGTGATTAGCTTGTTCTAAGCACCTCTCACATTGAATTTATGCTCCTTAAAAATGCGATAGTCTGAGTTGTATGGAATAGAGCCTGATTTATAATTGTAGGTATATGGCTCACAGTAAAGATTATCTTCTCCATATTCAGAGTCCATTGTATTATTAAGATGATCAAGCTAGCACTTGATATCAGCACTAAGTTCGAATGCTTCTCTGTCTGGGTTTCTGTTGTGCTGTTGTATTCTAGACTTGGCAAGTTTCTTATCAATGACAAGTAGCTCTTGGGTTACAAATGGAAGCTAGCACATGACTGTAGATTTAGATTAAGATCTTTCACCAACATCACCGCTGCTAATTAATTCTTTATCGTAGAGGTCATATCTTACTGTGTATTCAACACCCTCCTGCAGTTCTACATATTCTATGTTGATAGAGCCTTAGTTATAATCCAAGGATGAAGCATCGGCAAGTATACCTTTCTCAGACCCTTTGTTTACTAATGAGACACGCATACCCTATTATACCTCGTCACTGAACGCTGAACTTAATTCTGCTTTCAATCTAAAGATGAATCCTTCTCCAGATGATTTTGGCAAGGTGAAGCTAGTTTCTATGGAACTTTGCTAGCGATAAATAGACTTTGGCTGCTCAATTTAGAAGGTAAAGTATTAATTGAATGTGTGAATCTCCACGAGTGGAAACTCAAGAGGCGGTTCTACTTAATCTTTCGCGAAAGTCACAAACACCTCTGCTGGCATCATGCTTACTTGTGAGCATCCTGCTGCAAAACTTGCTTGCTAGATCTGTCATGAGAGTGAAACTGATAAAATCAAGAAGATTAATCTTGCTGTATGGAATTTGGCGGAATTTTAAGATTTTTTTCCCATTCGGATCAACTCTAATAATTCAAATTTATGTTTATAATTTTTGATTTTAAACTAATTTTTAGAAAGGCAGGAATTCTAAGATTAAAAATAAATATTTCTAGGCAAGTTCTTCATTAATTGAAGTTGCCTCAATTTTCATTCGTGGGGTTTTGGGGTTTTGGGGTTTTGG